CCCGAGAGGGCTGCTCCCTTTGCTAACCGATGGCAGAGATACCCATCTGAGTACGAGATGGATGGATAGGGTCTGTGTTAAAGAGGTGGCCACGCTCTTCCCAGCCCCAGGGGCAGATGTGCTGCTCCAGGACTGCACGTCCCCCTTCCTCCCRGCCACGTGGATGCCGTTCCCTTGCGGTGGCACGGCGCCATCAGCCGCAGCGYGCTCGCCGGAGTGCACAGGCTCTGCAAGGTCTGGGTGTGAGATTAGGGCAGATCCTTACTCGTTCGTCTCCCAGCCAGCTCAGGCAGACATCCGAGGCCGTGGGACCGGAATGCTCTGACCTGAATAGAGGCAGGCACTGTCCCTTCAAGCCCGGTCCTCGCCTCCCTCCGCCGCTTTGCTTTGCTCCGTTTCAGCTGTGCATCCTTAAGTGATTCAGGGGCTCCGGGCCAAAGGGCTCTTTGCCCCGCTGGGCTGATCCTGAAGAAAAGGGCTGATGTGCCAGGAGGACTGGGAGGCAAATGTCATTTCATCACTGTTTTCCCGGGAGAGGTRGAGGGATCCAGCATGGGAACGACGGGGGTGGGGGGGCAGGGGTTAATGAGGAGAAATGGGATAAATTAAAGAAAGGAAAATGTWGGCCAAGTATTTGGAGAAAACATATGTTTAAATGCTGTCAAGCCAAGAATTATTTTCTAAAAAAATAAGTAAATTCCAGGGAATGACTAAATTRTTGGACACAGCTCCTRACTAGGTACCTTGAAAATGTGTTGRATCAGRTTGTTGGTGTGAATTACCAGCCCAGCCCTGGAAAATATACCCTAGGGAGCACCAGCTTTCCTGGTTTTCCACTGATCTTAACGCCAAAGTGAAATCTCCTGAGGCAAAGGGACATTAACTAACTTACAGTGCCATCTAGCCCCATCTAAGACATAAGACGTTTATGAGTGGTTGCTAATTTTGTTCCTGTAACTGGGAGGCTGAGTCACTTCAGCTCTAACCCACCTCCTAGGTCATGTGCTTATGGATATAAGTGTATCTTGGAGTACATCCGTGCATGAAACTGGGATGTATTTTTAAAAACACGACCATGAGCTGTGAACTTAAATACCTGACTGGGAGCCATCCCAGCTGGACAAATCCTGTGTGTTTTCGTGGCCACTGGAGGTAGGGAGGGCAGCTCAGCGTTGCTTAGGCCTGTCTGTCACTTCCCATTGATAAGAGCTTGCTTTGGACGGCTCAGGGATTTGCCAGCCTGCGAGTGCTTGAGCTGGGAGTGTTGGTGCTGGGTGCTTSCTGCAGGCTGTTTGCAGGGACTTCTCCCCAGAGCAGTGTTGGTAACAGCTCCCAGTGCTCAGGGCACAGGTTTGCTCTTTCTGAGGGGAAAAAAAAGGCAAATAGGGAACAGTGCTGCTGCTGCTCCTCTTGCGAAACACGGTGGGGGCAGAGGGTGCTGGCTCCAGCTCGTGCTGCCCGCACTGTGCTGTGACTGCATCCCTGAACCTTTCACTGCCCCCACTACAGACACATCCTCCCCTGAGAGATGGGGACATGAGGTGAACTCTGACAACCCATCAAAGGCCACAGAGTGGAAAAGGTTGCCTTGGGCTCCCTGGTGCAAGGGTTCAAGGCCCCCTGATGTCTGTGAGAGTGCCAGAGTTGCTGTGTTAGCTCTTTGGGCCTCTGCTTTTTGCCTTCGTGGGTTCCAGAGGGATTCAGGGGGTGCTGCGGAGTTCCATGGGTTTGGTGCAGTATTTTGGTTTTAAGTCTGCAAAGCTGGTGCAGGGAAGCTGGCCAGTCTGCCAAAGGTAGCGAAGTAACCTTTTTCTGTGGAGGAAAACACCCATTATCCTAACCGGGCTTGCATTATCAGTGTTTTTTTCGCACTTTCTCCTTTATATTTCTTTTTTTTGCCTTGTGTGCTTGCAGCAATGTCTGTAGCCAGACATATGCTCATGGCCTGGAATGAAGTCGACTGCAATTACATCCTAAGGGAGTYGCTCACCAGGGGTTTTGTGCAGGCAGGACACAGGCTCTGCTCGAGCTGCACATGTGCTCTTAGACCTCCAACTGCACTCGTTCTGCCTTCAGCTTTGTGGGAGCGAGGAGCAGAAGGCGCAGAAATCCAGCCAGTCTGGTGCACATCTGGAGGCAGTAATTGGAGGTAAAGTGTGCACCTTCTGTTCTCAATCGAATGAGGTGTTTTCTTGCATTAGCGGTTTCAGTGCATCGGCACCAAAATCCCTCCTTTTAAACACACTTGCTCCCCATCCCCCATGCTCGGTGCTGGTCCGAGCCTTCTCCAAGCATGAGCTGGGTTGCAGGGTCAGGCGTCTCTCMTGTAAGGCTCCTTGTGCCTTACTTCCTTTATCTCCAGGACCAGCCAGAAGCACATGCTGCGGCAACGTAATCATTTAATCCGGGCTGGTGAAACCTGTTCTCCAGATGAACAACTGACAGATCGTTTGCTCTGCAGCTCTGCATATGAATGCAATGTTTGTTGCGGTGGCTGGATGCCGGTGCCAGTTTTCCACTGCTGTTTCCAGCAAAGCTAAGCAGCAGCCTGACCATGAATCTGCTTCCAGCTGCTTCCTCTGGTCCCTGCCACATGCCTGCTGCAGCCACACTGGTGCTGGGACTCTCCTTCCCTCCCTGCCTGCTAGTGTGGATGCAGTAGGTGCACGGATTCCTGGCAGGTCAGCGCAGCCCTTGGAGGAGCACAGCAGGCCTGTGGCACCCGGGATAGGAACGTGTTTGCCTGGGGAGGCCGGTGATACCTGAAAGGGTGCAGCCAAAACTAACAAAGGTGTGTTCAGAGAGAGATACAGCTTGATCTTTAGCCCCTGATACAAACCTTGCCTTGGCTGGGGAAGCTGCTCTGCCAAGCCGTCTTGTAAGGGTGTAACAGCCTGGCGGATTGCTGGTGATTCCAGAAGTGGATTGGAGTGGGCATGTGTGTTGCTGCCTCCCTTGCAATTGCTGTGAGTTAGGAGGGGCCAGTGAGAGGTGCACCCCCTGTTTTAGGCCTCTGGAGTCCTCAGGACTGAATGCCAGATATGAGGAGATGTTGCTCTCATAGTGTTGTCTGTCATTGTAGAATTACAGAATGATTTGGGTTAGAAGGGACCTTAAAGATCATTGAGTTCCAATCCCCCTGGGCTGTGTCCTGCCATGGGCAGGGACACCTCCCACTAGACCTGGTTACTCAAAGCCCTGTCCYGACCTGGCCTTGAACACTTCCAGGAATGGGGCAAGCACAGCTTRTCTAAACATCCTGTTCCAGTGTCTCACCGTGCTCACAGTAAAGAATTTCTCCCTAGTATCTAATCTAAATCTACATTCAGTTTAAAGGCATTACCTCTTGTCCCATCACTACCYGCCCTWGTCAGAAGAGCAGARCCAGTGGTTCRCTGCACATTGTGCAARTGSATGTGCTCACRTAGGTTTTCTGAGTGGCCAGCACTGAAARTCTGTCCTCTCCTAAGTGCTGGAGATGGTTCTGGTGAGCAGCCTGTCCTGCTCTGCTGCAGCCCTTGTTTGCTGCTTCTCTGGTTTCAGGTTCCATCCCTTCCAGACTTTGTAATGCAAGCAGCAGCTGACACAGCCCAGCTGATGGCTCGGTGGTGGCACAAAASCAGGGAGAGCACTCTGGTGTGCACCGGTGGCAGCCACTGCTCCAACAAACAGCATTAGAAACTTAGCAGGTGAATATGCAGTGGTGTTGCAGATATATTCTTTATTTTTGGCATAAAGAACAAGCTGAGGCCTGAGAATTTACCAGGGCCAGCATCTGACTCTTGAATTGTCTGATCTTCTTGTACTGTGTCTGAGGATGGAAAGCTGAAAGAAGCTGTTTACCTTCAGGTTGCAATATAGACTCCTTTAAAGCGCCTTTTTTGAGAAGAGCATGTGTTAAATATTTTTGGGGCCAGCACTGTGAGGTTGGCTCAGCCTCCAGAAGCACTTTCCAAAGCTTGTTGTCCAGAATAGCGTGCTCTAAAAATGCATTGCATCCCCCTGCACTAACTGGTCTGACCTACTCTAGCCATACAAGAGGCTTTTTCTTTCAGCTCGGGTGAGATCCATATTAAGATCTGTATTTCTTGCACACTGCAACAGCTTCTTTTTCTTCCTTGCTTCCTGGTAGGCACCTCYAGTGCCTGTCTCCGTGTTGGATGAGAGCCTGTGGGGCGTTCAGGGAGTGCAGGTCTGGCCTGTGTATCACCCTGTCACCAGGACTGAGCTGGGAGAAGTCAGTACATACGCACAGCTTGGAGCAATGCGTGCTGTGCTTGGGGGATGGGAGGTTTGAAACCTTGACTGTTATTTTATCTGCAGTTTAGCATGGCTCAGGTTTGTCAGCAAAACACCACAGTCCTGAAATTTCAAGCCTGAGGCGGAGCTGGGAAGAACATCCTAGAGCTCCTGAGTTTCTGTTTAGGGCTTTGGACACAGCTTCAGACAAAGATTCTCTCTTCCTGAAAGGACAGAGATATCGAAGTGCAATATTTACATCAGTTATGTGAAGTCCACTCAGACCTATTCAGCCCCCTGCTTCTGCATAATTTTTTTTTGGCAAGCATTAACTAAAAAGGAAGGGAGTAACTCTTGCTTGAAATTATTTTTCTCCCTGCTCCTGTGTCCCGCCCCCAGGCGCCCCATGGCAGGTGTTACAGAGGCGAAAACCAGCTCTCCTGCACAGAGAGATTAGCAGCACACAAAATCATCTCTCTCCTCCTTGTGCACCYCAGAGCCCAGAAACTCCCCCATCTCTCCAGCCTTGCAGCCCAGCTGTCCCAAACCCCAGACAGCAGGGATGGATAACTGTAGGCTGCTCCCTGCACTGCAGCCCAGTTGATGGAGGAGATAATGGGAATGATTTCTTCTTGCAAGTACAAGCATGAATCCTCTGAAGAAATATTAAGTCTGGATGTGGTGGAAAAAAAAAAAAAGAAAAATAAATGCACACACGTGCACACACACAACCTCGACCTCATGTAATGTTGGAGGGCTTGGTTGTGTCTGACTTTTTTTCTCAGCTGCTGGTCCTTGAACTCCTCCCAACGTGGCTCCACCACTGGAGCAACAGCTGGCGTGCTGAGGTGCACTTCAGGGCTGCCAGCTCGTCTCACTGCAGATCGAGCCTTGCACTGTGTTACTGGGGGATTTCCTTAAAGCCTTTGAGCCTCTCTGCCAGAGTGCTCGGATTGTGTGAGAATTGTGCCTTTTGATGGAAGAAAAAGTGGGTGGGGGGAAGATAATTAAGAAAAAATGTTTCTAGCACTCAGGATTGTGGAGGAAAATGAACAAATAGGAAATGAGTATGACCTACAGTAAGTAAAATAATAATCTTTTTGCCCTGAGCAGGGCTGTATGAACTGTTTGGATAACATGCAGTGGAGAGGGGTGTGGAAGAAAGTGGAGCCCTGCTCAGTGCTGCAGGCCTTTTGCCACTGTAAGAGAAAGAGTAAAAACTTGCTTTGCCACTCTGGATGCTAACTTATGACAGGCAATGGCTTTGGCTGTGGTGAATAAGCCTGGTGAAGGGTCCATCACAGATTAACTCCTAAGCCTTAGGTGTTTTGCTAAGTGAGGTGCCAGACCAGTCTGTGGAAATCTTGTTCTTGAATTATTATTCCTTTTAAATATTAGACCCTGYCTGCAAAAATGAAGTGTTTCCTGGCTTCACTTTTCAGCATTGCTATTCTTTCCATCCTCTTTTGCTTCCACAGTGGGTACAGAGACATGAGCTTTCAATACCTGCAAGTTTCCGTCTRGTTTGTTAGCATCACTCCTCAAGAAGGGGATTATGAGAAGTTGGAGATGTTGCAGGTAAGCATCCAAACAGTGATCCTGGCTTTCACAATGAGGCAGTGTGTTTTGTGTGGTTAGAGCAGCAGGAACTGGACTCAGGAGTGACGGAGCAAAAAATCAGTGATTGCTGTTTGGCAGGAGATAYTTAAACTTTGTCAAGCTAGGCAAGTATCTCCATTGTGGTCTCTGACTCACAATTCAAATATGCTGGGAACATTTGAGGGGGCTGGGTCAGTTCTTTAAGCAGTGGGAAAACAAGGCTTTAATGCATCACGGCATAACTTTGGGTCTGTGCTCTACTGTTCTGCTTTTCTTTGAGGAAACTGGTGTGGCTGGCGGTGGGGAGAGGGAGGTGTTGTGAAACCACACACACACACACACACACACACACACACAGAGTCACACACTCACATGTGATTTTAATCCCTCCTAACAGTGTTTCAGGCTCATTTGACTGTGGTGGCTGAGCTGAACCACTTCTGACTTGCCCTCCTGAGGGTGAACAGAGGACGAGGCTGTGCGCTGGGGCTGGTGACAACTCGGTTTCCACCTCTGCTGCAGCAGCCTGGCTGAGGTATGCAATGCAGAGGAGCTCATGGAGGGCTCGCCAGCCCCTTCAGCTATTCAGTACCACTCTGGGGGCACAAGAATGTCCCATATTGGTTGGTTAAACCAGGCTGGCAGCTCCGGTGTGTGGTCATTCTGGTGGCAAAAGCAGTCAGGCTGTTCTGGTGAATCAGGCTGCGAGGGCAGGGAGCCTTGCCAGCAGCCCGGCTCTCCYGCTTCCTTCCACTGCCGCAGATAACGCCGCGGAGCCTCCCGGGGAGGGAGGTGCGTTTATGCCCTTACCAAAGGTGTTTTCTGTTGATATGGTGTGTTCCTGCACACGGAGGGGAAGGCAGATATGGCCAGACATCCTCTCCCAGATCCTGTTGTGTGGATGAGAGTGGCTGCTGGCAGTGGGGTTGCTCCTTTGTGCTCCTCCGGCTGGAGACAAGCACCCATTTGGGGATGCTTCCTGGAAAATACCATTGTAAAGCTGACGAGCAGATGCTTTCAGTCTGTGCTTTGCACCTTCTGCTCCTGGGAGGGGCTGGAAGGAGAACGGGGAAATGGTGCTGGAGAAATATGGCCAAGACCAGAAAAATGGTCGGGACCAGGTAAGGAGCAGCCACATGGCAGACGAGCTGCTGGCTCCATAATTAAGCCAAGTGTTCAGGATGCAAGAGGTTTGGCTGAGCTCAGTTGAAAGCCCAGCTTCCTGTGTGTTCCTCCCTGCTATGATTCTGACCAGAAATTCCATTTTTGACCTGAAAAATCTTCCAGATGAAAATTTAATTATAAAAGTGATGTATTCCCACAAGAAACTTCAGTGTCAGCAAATAAGCATTTGTTTCTGAAAAACTGTTCTATTCACACACACAGAAAAACCTGGCTCCCACTGATTCCATGCTAGAGCATTACTCTGGTAAAAACTCTGTTGATTTGTTTAATAAAAATGATTATGGTTTGCAGTTAGCCTCTGTTAGGCATACAAGTTGCAAAGAATTGACACTGGTCCTGAAGTCCTCTTGCACAGGATAAAYTTTCTTGGCAAGTTATTCAATCATGGCCTTTCATAAATCTGTGATTTATGAAAGGTTTCTGGCAGCGGAGAAGTGGGATGAATCAATTGTGGGAGTGTTAACCCAGACAACARGACTTTCTTTCCTTTTGTGCAACGAATTACTTGCTTTCTGCAGAACAAAGGTGCAAGCATTTTCCTCCAGATGATGTGACTTGTAACAAGGACTTGGTAAATATTTTTCTTATGCAAAGGTCTGTTGTTATTGATTCCATATTTACTTGGGATCTTTGCATGCAGAGGATGGCTTTTGGCTTGTGAAGAGGAACTTCTCTGAGGCTGGAACATTTCTCCTCACACTCCTGARTCTCTGCAGGATTCTATGTAATGCTCAGGAAGGCTGCTAGGGGCAAGGTGCTTTTCCGTGTGTAACAGAAAACTCTGCAGGCTCATTAATAAAGGCCAAATAAAATAAAGCTTGGAAAGTCAACATGTTTGAGAAGATATGCTGTTCTGGGAAACAAGTGGAGGGGAGGTGTATATTTATATGAACAAAGGAAGTCCAAATTGTAAACCATAATAGATGTGTTAGCTTGTTAATGCGGCTGATGCTGACTAATTCCAGGGGTGTTCCTGCTGCCCAGGAGCAAAAGTGCAAATAAGTGGACAGCTGTGATTTAGTGCCAAATATTTGATTGAACACATCGTGACAATTCAGGCCACCCACACTCTTAAGTAAATACAACTTCTGGAGAGCCATTTCAAAGYGGGCTGAAGTGCAGGGCAGCCACTTTCATGTGCATCTCAGCCAAATGGCCCTCAAGTATTTGGGGTCAAACTTTGCCTTCTGTTACACCCTGGGAGCCCCCATTCACTCCACAGAGTTTGCACTGGGTAGCTGAGGRGCAGAGCTGACTCTTGATGCTAATCTGACTTTTTCTAGCTCAGTAAGTACAATTTCACATGTAAATGTGAATGTGGAACAGATCTGGACTCGATTAGCTCCTGAATCCTTGATGAAAAGCCATAATTGTTTATCCAGATGATGTTTCTTTCTCTYTCTTTTATTTTCTCTACACTTGAAACCCAAGGTTTTAATGGGCTTGTAAAATAAATACATGAGTGTGGATTACAGCRGTATCAAAGGTGTGAGGAAAGCCCTTCCCTTCTCCTCAGCAGGGCTAAATGATCTCTGGGTGCACACTTCAGTTGTTSTATCCAGAGCCTTGGGCAGGGGTGGCTGCGGATCTGACGGTGGGAGGGAGGGTATTTCCAAGACAACACAGCCCAGGGCTCTCATTACTGATGTGAAGGACCTGTGATACCTATCTTCTCTTTTTCCTGGTAGGCAGTGAAATCTGCRCTAGTGGCAATATCTGGGACACAGGGTGGTTGGGGGAGGAGAAAAGCAAGGGAATATGGAAAAAAAATGTATTTWTCAGGGTAATCTAGTTTAGGAGTGCAAGTACTAAAACATTTTAATCACAGTCATACGGCTGTGTGTCACTGCAGGGCAGAATTAAGGCTATTTGTATGCCTTGTAGCACACTGCCACACTTCAACAAGTTTGAATTTATTTTAAGCGTAACTTTAACTCTGAATTCCCTGGGTTTGTAATGTCTGGTCTGGAAATAAATGCAACCTCTTTATATTGTACTTTACTCTTAAAATAGGCTTTCCACTTTAGCTCCGTTTCTGTTGGCTCGGCAAGAGCATGGGCTGTCATTTCCTGCCCTGCTGGGTTTGCTGTTTAAATGGAGAGGGCGTGTATCCAAATAAAGGAACACAGCAGTAAAAGCTGGGATGGGTGATGGATGGCACTCCCAGGGCAGCTGTGCCACAGSCCAGTTATTGCTTTAACTGCCCATGCCTGACTATCTCCTACATGAATGCGTGGCTACTTTTGGCACAGAGATGCTTTACTTGCGGRTTGAAGGAGCTCACAGGGAATCTCAGTGTCAAATTTGGTTTCATGCTGTGGAAGTGGCATTGTGATGCCAGCTCCCAGTGAGGCCWCTGGAATTGGTGGGATGATGCTTGGCTCACACCAGTGTGCCTGTGAGCTTGGCTCACAGCTCTAGAGCTGCGAGCTCTTCATGTGCCACGACGGAGAGGCTCCACCTGGCCARGCTGGGCGCAGCTGGCCCAGCAGTGTGCCCAGGGATGGGGGACAGGGATAGGCCCTGCAGGAGAAGTTACTCTGTTTGCCTCCCTGCAGAGGAAATCACCTCCCCCTTCTCCTGTGTTGGGGAAGGYTGGTGGCTCAGGGAGCCCTGGGGACAGACTGATTTAAACATGCATTTCTTCAGACAAGGCTTCTTCTTGATAGGAGAGAAACAGCATCATTCCTGGAGTTTCTCTGCCTTAGTTTCTGCCTGCAGCCCTTACCTACTTCCCCCACTCCCAAGCCACCCTGCTGGGCTTCTTGCCTTGCTGCACATGCAGAGACACAAGGCATACATATGTCCCCCTTCTCCCTCGCTCTCYTGTGCAAGCTCCCTCACTCTCTCCCTCATTTCCCTCCCAATACACCCATGTCCTACCCCCTGACTAAAGCAAAATTTCCCTCTTTCTTGGCAGCTGGTCTTCCCAGGGGCCCAAACTAACAGAAGTCTGAGCCCTGACTGCCTATGCCTTGGCCAGAGCAGAGCAACTCTTTGCTGAGAGATAATGTTGCCTTAAAGGAGAAGGTATTTTTTATTTCTCTATCTGTTTTCCCTCTCATGCTCACCCRTTTGTTTCTCGGCTCCCATGGAGAGAGCCGTGCTTGTGCCTGGGACYTGCTGCCTCCCAGTCACCTACTGGGAGTTTCCCTCTCCCCCCACAGTCTTCCTGGCTGTGGAGTTCATCTCTGAGCCAGGCCTCCCATAATTRATGCAAGCCTTGCTCTTGACTTTCTGCGAGCACTGGATAAGGCCTTTCCAGGACTTGCAGCTTTCCTCCAGCTCAACCCTTGCAAGCCAAGTGATGAGGCTTCCAGGGCTTCTCCCGCGGGATGGCTCCAGTGCATGCATCTCACTGTCAGGAAGCTTTTCCTGACACTCAGCCTAAATTTTCCCCTTTTCAAATGTCATCCTGGCACTCCTACTTAGCATGCACTTTCTGTGTGTCTCACTCCCTCCGAGCAGGCTGTGCTTTTCCCTCTCCAGTGCCTGGGCTCTTTCTGGTGCTTGCTGGCTGTCACCCACTTTCCTCGCACCCGCCTCAGCTTGGCCAGTCCAAGCACATTATCTTACAGCTCATTTCCCTTTATAAATCAAACCTCCCAGGCATTTTCCTCTTCTTTTTTTTTTTCCTTCTTTTTTTGTGTCATTCTATTTCCCTTTTCCCCACCACGCAGGAGGATTTTTGGGTATGTGCCCCATGGTTCAGAACGTTTTTCTCTCCGCATCCRCTGGCAAGGTTTTTAGTGTAAAGTGCTGACATTTCTTTGTTGCCGTGGGCAGCTCTCGTGGAGTAATGAACAGCTGGGAATGGGTAAATGCACAACCAGAGGTCCTGGGAGCAGCCCAGGCAGGTGCCCCTCAACCTGCACCGTGCTTGTGCAGACTYTCCAGTACAGACTGATCTCCCACTGTTGCCTTCCTCTGTGTGGAATCGTGATTGCCCTCCCCTGTTTGGACTCTTTCCATGGATTTCATGGATCTGAGGGTACTAACTCTCTGCTGAATCAGGTCTGTGTGGGCAATGACTTTGAGTTCAGATGGGACTGGAAATGAAGAGGGGCAGCCTCTGCCTCGTGGTGCGCACACATGAAATGGCTCAATGTGCCTCATTTCCTTATCAAGCCAGCCTGAATGTGCTTCCCGATAAGGAATAAAGCAGCACTGGAATGGAAAGGAGTTAAGAGACAGGTTGCTTTTCCTTCTGTGTCCAACTTGTTTGCGACCACATGACATGGGTTTTGTTCAGGATCAGGATCTGGGGCGAAGGGCTGAGCTGCTCTTGAACTTGCACTGCCACTGGCATTGAGCTCTTGCTTTGCTGTAGCCAGAAAACGAAGGTTTCTCCATRCAAAGTGACGAACACAACCGTGGACGTTGCCATGACAGCTCCAAGGAGAAACTGGGTCAGTTCTGCAGCCATTGGAGGGGACCAGTCATGGCTGCCTGTGGTCTCCTGCAAGCCCACAAGGGCAAACATGTTCCAGAACTCATTATTGGGCTGACTGCACTGGTTCTATGTTTCCTGGGAGGAAACCAAAAAGTTTCAAACTTGATTACCATTTTAAAGTTAGTGTGGCTAAAATGGTTGGTTGGAACCCACACCACTGCCATGGCAACAGATACATGCACTTTTTTTTTGGAACATGAAATGAGAGCAATTTTTCTTGTGCTTAAGTGACTTCAGAGGAGAAGATGCTCTGGAACAAGAATTAAGAATGACATACAGAAGGGACTGGAAATATCAGACCAGCAGAGTTGAATAGAGGATCATTTCAAAGTKAAATAGAAAGTAAAGGATAAACTGTGAGGTTGAGAAAGTGCTTTGGCCAAGGAAATTCCTTAAATAATAGTGTCCTCCATGAACTTAAGACCAGGTATGAAACACATCATTGATTTGACATCAAAATAGTTTCTTCAAAAGATAAAGGCGCATGTTCATTGATTATTGATCCCTTTGGAGAATGTGGTCACAGGTGTTTCAGGAGAGCATTCCTGAGAGCTATGGAAGATCTATACGTTTTTTCCAGCCATCCACCCTCCCTACCTTCAGTATAACCTCCTTGAGGGTATAATATTAATCTGTTAATTCTGCAACTTGACACTTTGTAGGCAGATGACACCAGTGCCTGGGATCTGGGTACTGTCGCTGAAGAATCGAAGAGACGGGTAAGGCACGTCCACCAGTGCCTGCAGTGGAAAATGTCATCACCATAATGCTGTGCAGGGGAAGGACAGACACTGATGGCCCATCTCCCATGAGTTGTGTGTTATCAGCAGTTTCATAACAGAGTGGTTTAGGCTTAACTCCACCTCTGCTTTTGTGTAGATACCACTGACAGGTAATGGTGTCRCCTGTTTAACAGTGTGACTATACAATCTGTGGTTATTTCCATTAAAAGACAACACACACTTTGTAGACACCAGGAGATTTTTGAGGAATTGCGTGTGTGAAATATAAATTAATGCATTGAACTGCCTTTTGACACACAGATGCATGCACACGCACAAAAGCATTGAYCAAGTTGCAAGGTCTGCTCTCTAAAAGTGGTATTGATTTTGAAGGTTCTGCTGCTGCTTTTTGCAGCCTTTGTCCTACCACAGAGGCAAGGAGCACCAGAGGGTTTGTCTCATGGGGTCGAACAGCTTGGCACTTTGCACTGCATGGCTGAAGTGTCACCAGGAGCAGAGTTRTGGCAGTGTCCTGGCCCTTAGGAAGAGGTTTCTCTTTCTGTGCAGGTAGCCAAGATTGCACTGCTGGGACAGTGGTTTGGCCATGACAGCAGAGCGATGATGTATGCTTGCTCAGCACTACCACAGCACAAGCAGTAGTTTTCTGACATCAAATGAAGCCCTGGCTCAGCTGGTTGGCACTGAGGCTGGGCCGGGTGCGGGGTCTTTCGGCATTAGGATGGAGCCTCTTTGAGACATCAAMACATGCAGATCTTTCCTGCTGGCCTCCTCCCTGCCCCATTTTCCTATCTTTGGTGGTTGGCCCTGGCTGAATGCTGGGTCCCCACCAAACCTGCTCTATCACTTCCCTCCTCAGCTGGACAGGAGAGAGAAAAGGCGTCTTGATTGAGAAGATCAGGTAGAGATCACTCACCAATTACAGTCATGGGCAAAATAGACCTGCCTTGAGGAATTAGTTTACTTTATTATCAATCAAATCAGAGTTTGATATAATATAATGAGAAATAAAATCAAATCCTGAAAACATCTTCCTCTCACTCCTCCATTCTTCCTGGACTCAACTTCATTCCCAAATTCTCTACCTCCTCCCCACAATGGTGCAGGGGGACGTGGAACTGGGGTTGTGGTCAGTTCATCACACATTGTCTCTGCCACTCCTTCCTCCTCAAAGAGAGAGCTCCTCACTTTTCCTCTCTAGCCAGAAACCCCTCCCATGGAACACAGTCCTCATGAATTTCTGCAAGGTGAGTCTTTCCTGCAGGCTGCAGCTCTTCATGAACTGCCCCAATGTGGGTCCCTTCCACAGGGTGCAGTCCTGCAGGAACAGCCTGCTCCATGTGGGTCTCCTGTGAGGTCACAAGTCCTGCCAGGACCCTGCTCCAGGGTGGGCTCCTCTCTCCACGGGGCCACGGGTGCTGCCAGGACCCGCTCCAGCATGGGCTTCCCATGGGGTCACAGCCTCTTTGTGTGCATTCCCTTGGTCCTCCAGGGGCTGCAGTGGATCTCTGCTTCATTGTGAACCTCCCTGGGCAGCAGCAGGGAATCTCTGTTCTGGCACCAGAGCATCTCCTGCCCCTCCTCCTTCACTGACCTTGGTGTCTGCAAGGCTGTTTCTCTCACAGACTCTCATTCCTCTCTCCAGCTGCAATTGCTCTTGTGTGACAATTTTTTCTCCTTAAACACAATATTTCAGAGGCACTACCACCATCAGTGATGGGCTCAGCTCAGGTCCATCTTAGGTCTGKCTGGCAATGGCTCCATTGGACAYGGGGGAAGCCTCTGGCAGCTTCTCACAGAAGCCACACTTGGAGCCTCCCCACTRCAAAATCTTGCCATAGAAACCAAATACACTGCATTGGACACCATCTCCTCTCAAAATTAATTTGAAAGCATTTCTTTCCAATGTTTCTAGAATCCCAGAAGGAAGCTTAATCCCTTCAACCTTCTCCTTGTGCAATGTGTACCTGGGGTGCTGGATGGCTGAATAACCTCTCATGCACTGAGAGCCATTAGCATTTGAATTAGTGACATGAGGATAGCAAGCGATTATCCCATTTAACAGCTGTTRAGTGCTGTTGAAGGGACACCCTAAAGAAGAATGAACAAAAATGTAGTGGATTTTTCTCTTTTAGTAAGGGCTTCCCTGCCTTGTGTGAATATTGACACACTCCCATGCTTGAAACGTGGTGCATTTTCCACAGGGATGTCTTATGATCGTTAAATCTCTTTCCTGTAGAGAGCTGGGCACCTTAGTACACCTACAGCATGCCAGCAGATGAGAGTGAGAAAGTGGAACTGTCCCCAAACAGAAGGGGAAGTGGTCCCATGTTTTGGGAAACAGGCTAAGCCAAGCATAAAGAGAACAGTCATAAGAAAGCTGCMAAAAGAAGATGCAGAAACTTAAAGCATCTTCTCTTCTCTAGAGCACAGCYGTAAGGGATGTGCCTGGGATGAATCTGACTGCTATTCTCCTAGGTGGAAATGTGGCTGCTTCAAGGGGCAGGAGGAGCCAGGCATGAGTTAGATATTCCAGTGTGATATAACAGATGAATTAAAAACGCCCTCTCTGAGGATTTGGCTAGATGCAGGGAAGTGCATTTTGAAAGTGTAGGATCTGTCAGACATAGTGCATAAGGAAATCTTTCTGTATGCAGGGCATTTTTGCAAAAGAAGACAACAGTGATCAGGAATTATTGCCATTATTGGTGTAGGTAAATCTCTCTCCTGGTATATGACTCCATTTCTGTTGACAGTGTGTTAAGCAAAAAGCAAAGTACCAGTCCTCATCATCGCAAGGAAGTGCTGTCTGGACYCCTGCATCAAAGACACCAAGACAAAACTCTCCCCACCTCCCACTTGGAGTCTCAAACATGATTCATTTTGAGGCTCTGCCTTTTAGAGTGAGCTGAACGAGCAGAGGAAGCCACACTTTCACAAGGATTCACTCATGTCAACTCCCACTGAGGGTTGCTGCTGAGCCGTCTCTCAGCCTTTCAGAAGGTCCGGCCCCTCATTCAGGAGTGCTGTCGGTGCCTGATCCCCTTTCTGGAAGCTGTCTCAGACTGGGTGCCCTGAGATTTTGTGGAAAGTTGTCTTCATTGTCCCCCCAGGATCAGCATCTCAGAGCAAACAGAAATAACCCCCTCAGGCTTTTGTCTTCAGAGGAGAGAGAAGGGGTAGAATGAGGTGGAAAAAGCAAAGTGGCTTTTTGTCCTGCTGGGATTCAAAACTGATGGCAAGAGGTATGCCTTGGAGTAGGTAAACCTTGCAG